ACATTGGATGCCTTGTATCCAGGGCACTGCTGGGTGCCCGCTCGTGACCCAATCACGGCAGCCCCGGCCAAGGGAGCAAGGAGGAAGAGAGACCCCAACATCGCAACGTTGAAGGTTGAGGTGGTGCAGCAAGGGTCCGGGGTCCAGAGAGAGCGGAGTGGGACTGCTTTTTATAATGACAGGGCAGGGCAGTTGGTGTGCGCGAAATGCGTCGCTTACATTTTCCACGTTGGCCCAATATGGACATAAGTGGCGCGCTATTGTATGACTGCTCACATCCACTACATCGCGGTTATCGGAAAGAGGAGGTGAACCGAAGCTTACATTGGTTCGGGAATCGGTCGGAACAGAAGCAAGCCAGGAATTCAGGACAGAAACAAGATTCTGGCGCATTGGAGTAGCACGAGATACCCTGTCCATCTCAGTCCAATATCAGAGATTACCCCTCGGCGAGGGTCTCTCCCCAGGAAATGGAACGCAATGACAACCTTGGGGTAACCATGGCATGCTTGTTGATCCTTGACCAGGAAACACAATGAAAGAATGTCAGGTAGGACGCCAGGATAATCCCAATCAACCCCAACAATGACATCCCCCGCGTTTTCCCCGCATCCCAAGAGGTACACTCCGTCTTGTATTTATATCGAGACTTGATATTAATGATCTCGACCCAAATCGACCGACGGGAGTAAACTTCGAATTGAATACAAAATTTGATTTAATAACCTCATGTTGTACTGAATCAGATTAATCTCCAGCCATCTAATATACTAGGGTACTTTCCAAACGTGCTCGCCAATGCTTGATTGTCAAGCAACGATTTAAATGTATGTAATTTTCACACGGTCGACCCACATACCTACCAATACAAGTGTCGAGTATAGTTCTCAGGCTGAATTCCGCAACAAAGTTATGTCAGATAAAACTTTCGGGGAAATAACCCCCACATGGAGTATGTATAACTAAAATACGTAATTCAAATAGTTACATGGATCTTTCGAGCTCCACTTTGCCCTTTAATGAAAGGACGAGTCCTGTTTTGATTAGTTGCAGAATAAATGACTCCAGTCTCAGCTAAATAGCTGAAAGACGGAAGCATCCGCCATTGATTGACTGCTAACGAAAAGACCTGTTCTTCTATAATACGAGATGTATTTACAAGTCTTTGGACTCGGTAGCCATCAACATATTTGGGGTGTTAGCTCGTGGCCACGCCGGAGTGGAGGAGCTCAGTTCTCTCCCAGCCTGTCCTCTTGCAGGGTTACATCTTGATGCACTAGTCAGAGTTTATCCTTCGGATTGATATCATTAGTCGCCATCAAGACGACCGAAGCCTGAACAACATCTATATCTTTTTCTAGCTGTCCACGGTAGTCCAGTCCTTGACTTTCCTCGTAGTCCAACTGGCTATCAATAAAACGGGGGCTTAATATCTGCTTTTCAGCCAGCTACCGTACCTCATGAAGCTCCAGGAATCCATTTACGATTCTCACCGCTAGTTGCGCGACAGTCGACGATGATTCATACACTGACCCCTCGCGTAGGTGATATGCAGGATCTAGCTACAGTTATCCTCTTTCTCACATCTATTCCTGTTCCTATCGCCTTAGTAGCCAAGCGGTCCGCTGTGTTGTTTCCACTCGGACGGTTCAATATTGCGAAACTGTCAACGTGCTGTTTACACTCTAGATTATTCCAGAATCTTGTATCGCAAATACAAAATATTGTATGAAGTGCAATCAGGTGACTGTTCTGACTCTGTAGAATTTTTTTATGGCTTTAGTAGTTGTGTTTTGGTCTTCAGGGTTTGGGAATCAAAGCTACCGGGGAGTCGGAAACTGATTTTAAACCATTCTGTGGCAAAATGTCCTCCTTTACTTGTCCTTCCATCCTTGATATTATAGGACAACAAGTCTCAAGGCGTCCCCTAAAGATAACTTGAAGTTTCGAGGCTGATATCACCACTATGAATTCATGAGAGAATCGATCGACAGCATGCTAAGCCCGGGAAGGCTTAGCGCTGAGATCTGACCCATCACTCATGAACTGTGGTGTTCGAGTCAGTTCGACAAAGTCCCGTTGCTGTATGTTCACACCCTCCGAGTCCTTATCCAGACATATTCCTATCATCCTCCAGGTATTATTCATGGGTTCTATTGTCGCATGATACATGGCTCGACAAAACTCTGAACACTTATCATGGCACTCTTGACAACCTCATACCAGCCAAGACAGGTCACTCCACCTGTAAGTTTGATCTGCATCAAGATCTAATGCGGCTGGAGCTGAAGCGTGGATACCGCCTCGTCATGGCAAGCCAGTCAGCTTCCGCCAGCATCAGGATACGGTAACTATCGAGAGTACTATTTGATTGTATGCGGGTTTACCAAAGTTTGCTGCCCAATGACATGACGTGTTTTGTGAATTGTCGGTGAAAATGCCTTTTTTACTCCCCCTATACATTACCGAAAGGGGTCGCTGTCTCGACCCTACGATGTGTTCTTGTCTTTGTGCCTTTCTCGATGGCAGTTTTCACATCAGTTGAGCTCGAAGCGGCTACGCAACAGCCTTCACGGCTGAAGTCCCTACAGACCAAAGAACACCCGCGACCAGCACCACCATATCATCGGGCAGTTCTATGTTTCATCTTTCGAGACGCCAATATAGAACAAGAATTGCCGAAGAATCCAAAGCCAAACAGTGCCCAGGTTCGGAAAAGCGATAGGGTTCCACTGCCATGGTTCGCCCCACAACCCTATATACTCTTAAATACTATTAGTTTCGCTGACTAGATTGCTACAGTGATCCTCTAGAACCCCTGCTGGGGGTAATCGAAGATAAAAATTCGAGTCCCATGGACACTGCTTGGAAGACGATCAAAAAACAGACAACCATACCACCCTCCTCACTGTCAGTCCTTCGATATGGAAAGAGCTTTCTTTCAGAGACATCATCTATCGGCCAGAGATGCCTCTTTTACCCGTTCGCATTCCATCTCAATACATTGTCAGGTCTCAGCACCGACATAGATAGCTTACGTCTTGATCGAAGTATTTGTGGATGGAATAGCCACGAGCCAAATGTGTATGACTTGATGGACAGTCACTACTTCGGACAGGGCTTGCGAAAGGTTTGGTTCGAGATTGACCTTGGCGCAGCACCGGGAAAGGTGTTGGCGAGTGGTTTGAAACAGCTTCAACACGACCATGAAAGCGGCGCACGAAAATTAGCTGCCGTTTCAGTGAACATCCTTCGGGCGGTCTTAGCCCACCTTGACGACCCCATCGTTCTCAGTGGCCCATGGTGGCAGAAAGCCAGGATGACAGCCTGGCATCTCTGGAAGAATGGGCGTCAGAGTATGGACGCGGCCATTCTCAGCTTTCTGTTGATGACATTGACGGACATTGAGACGCTTTTATTGACTATGGGTCCTGCGGAAACCTGCGACAAGCGGCAGGTCTCCGAGCTCTTCGACCGGGTTCAGAAAAAGATACGCTCATATAAGCTTCGCCTTAGCTACAACTTCGGGTCATACGTGATGTCTAAGATTAGCCGAACTGGTTGTATACCTAAGCACTTGACAATTATAACCCTATCTGCGAGTTGTACCATCCGTGAATGCATTACACAGTTAGTACGGATCTCCGGCGCCCAATCAGTCGAAATCCGCGTTTTGGAATCACGACCTTTATTCGAAGGCGTTTCATTAGCATCTGCAATTCTAGAACATCTTGAGAAGGAACCGAACAGCCCCAAAGTCGATGTATCTATTTTCACCGACGCTTCGGTTGCCCTCGCAGCTCAAAATGTCGATTTTCTTCTGCTTGCAGCAGATCGCATTGCTGCTGATGGGTCAGTTAGTAATAAAACTGGATCTTTGCCAGCAGCTCTAAGCGTGCGGCATGTCTCACCCTCGGCAGACATTATCGTGGTGAGTGAACTCGATAAAGTCGCCATGCAGAGCTGTGATACAGAAGCACATACCATGGAAAACAATGAGTCCTCGGAAGTTGTGGACGCCTGGCAGCAGAGCGAGACTGTAAAAGGACTCAGTGTCATTGAACAGAAAATTCAAAGGAAAGGTCGACAAGTCACAGTCAACGTACCGAATGTTTACTTCGAATGGGTCCCTCCTACATTGATAGACGCCTACATCTGTGAAGATGGTGTCAAACTCCCATCCGATTTTCGAAACCGATCACAGTGGATTAAAGAACAATGCGAGAGATACTTTGATAATAACTTGTGAACCTGAGCACCAGAAGCATATTGTAATCCAGGTAAAACTGGAGGAAAGGGAGCATGATTTTATAAATTTACATATATTAGCGAATACGTATTTTCTTCGAAGCCCATTCATCCCGTGTCCTAATCAGACAAGACAGAGTCCCTTGAAGCCCTGAAGCCAGGGTAATGTTAAAGCGTAGATCACAGATCTGCAAAGATGATCGTAATGCACAGTAGTGTCTAATGTACGGAGAAAGTTTCACTGAAATTATAGCAGTGCTAGTAGAGACGGGTCAGACTCCCAATAACTCCACGCTCCAAACCCGTGTCGACTGAAAGTTCCTCATGCTGATATTGATAGATTTGTAGTAAGATATGCCGATGTTGGTTGTTGATGCATTCTGTTGCTCCTGTAATCCCAAAAACTCGACTTGGTTTCAGAAGTCTGGGTTACAAGCGATCATATAGTACGGAGTAGTCGAGACAAGATCCTTCCAACACTTAACATGAGCGGCCACGAGGTGAATCGACCGGATCAAGAAATTCAAGGGTTACATTAGGGGCGTAGTGTAGCCTGGACCCATCAGGCCATTTAGGGTTTCACTACCTCAAACCGTGTCAGGTGCTAATGAGAGAAATCCGTAGTCCAATAGTTGGCCGGGGTTGGAGCGAGTACGGAATATTTCTGTGTTCTTTGCTCTTCTTGGCCCCTTCGAATTATATTACTTCCATATTAATATTAATATTCAATCGGCCGTTTAATTTCCCACCCTCGAAGAACGGTTCTAACATGCCCTAGGGGCACCACAGTAGTAGATCGCAGCCAGTACGCGGCTTATAATCTCCGTTTCCAACCACTGCCAATGAAAAATTCATACACCGTGGCTAAACCGAGTTATTTCGTAATGATAATAATTTTGCCTTCTTCGCTGTTTGCTTGTCATGTACAGAAACACAAGGAATAGTCCAAATAAGCCTACATCCGCATTCCACATGGGGACTCCAGTATCGCCCCTATCACTCTGCATGCAATGGCCCAGTTTTCGCCGGACAGCTGGACGCCAGCGGTCAATGTCTTGACCTGGTTTCTACTAGTGACGGCAACTTTGAGCGTAATCACTCGACTGGGGACCAAATACTGGATCTTTCGCAAGTTCACTGAAGATGATTACTTCAGTATCGCTTCATTGGTATAGTTTGACATGGAAACGTGGTGGAGCATGTTATGGGGACATGGGTACTGATTCACACCAGGTACTCTGCGCTGCGCAATCCATCGCCGTGTCGATGGCGACTGCCAACGGGTATGGGGAGCATTATGAGAGTTTGAGTAGTTCTAGCATTGAAGCAATGATGAAGGTGAGCAAGACACGCATCTCCCTCGGACGCTGTACTCACGACGACTAGTCGCAATACTCAGCAAATATCCTCTTCATCCTCAGCATGTGTTTCTCTAAACTCGCTCTGATCAGCTTTATCGATAACTTGACGCCTGCTTCTACAGACCACCGCATCGCGGTTGGCCTGAAAATGTCTACTCTTGTATGGGGGGTGATTGGCCTCATAACCTCAGCTTTCCAATGCAAACCACCTCGAACTTGGGATTATCTGCATGGGAAATGCTTTAACATTGTGGGTGATGTCCATTTCTGAATACGGAGAAATGACTGACGGGTCAACAGAATGTCTGGTGGAATTATCTTGGCAGCACGAATATCTTGTCAGAATGTGGTATGATGATACAGGCAATGCTAGTGATTGTACGCATTCAGACGCATCTTAAGAAAAAGGCCGTCTTGGCCGGAGTGTTCATGCTTCGGGTCGCGTTCGTGTCCCGGCATCTTCCGTCGCTTTAGCCTCTGCTAACTTCATCTACAGAGTCATGATTATGATTATCTGTCAGCTGGTCTATGCTAGTAAAACCGTCGATTCGCGCGACCCATCCCATGAGACTTGGCCCGTGGCGATATCCACGCAGCTAGTTCAGTCTTTAAGCATTGTCACGGCCTGCTCGCCCCAATTCAAACCATTTCTCGACAGTCTGCGCTCAACGGGGATGCGCCTTGGTGGACTGACAAGTTACGGTCACTCGCAAAAGGGATACGGCTCATACTCTGCTTCACGTCGACGAGGCACGGTTCGCAGCGATGTGCATGAGCTTGTCCCCCTACCGATACAGGACACCCACCAGGCTACTATAACTAGCTCGACGCCATCGCTGGGCTGGGATGGAGAAAGTCAGTCGAGCCAGACGCACATAATCCGAGAGACTAGGACTTGGACTGTGACCGAAGTACGGCGTAGTTTCGCCGAGAATGCCAAGTGATGCGGTCGCATTTTAGTTTTCTTTTAATGTCACGGTAAATATTGGATGACATGAATACTACTCCGGAGTATATTAAATGTCTTTCCACTCCATACACTATTTCTCTTTGTGGACGTGGGTTTTGCCCAATGGCAGGAGTCGTAGGATACAAGATCCAGGGTCAGTCCCACAAGGTTTTCCACTTATATTGGGATACATACTAATTCCACCGATGGGAGCCGGGCGGGAGTCCTTGGCATTCTCGAATCTAGCTCAACAAACTAAATATCTTAGGGGCGTGTTCAGGATTTTAGCGGTACAACGGGACGTGCTGTTTGGGTTGATCGCGAATTGTTCGTTGTGGGGCGGCAGGGGTACAACCGCGAGTGATATACAGCCTCATGTGACAGAGCATCAGTTTAGTCCTATTAGATATTAGTACGTGTTCAACACAGACCTGAGTCCGTCTGAGGTAGTGTTCGGGGAGGCCAACCCTCCGCGGATGCTACGATGCAGAGACATCGCCAGACGTCTTAGGGCTAGCCCCTACAAGGGTCGATTCGTTGACAAATTAATAGAACCAGTTATGGCCACGGGCAGTCAGGGAATCTAAAGAGGTCTGGAATTAATTGGCCCCCTATGCAACAGAGAGTGTTATACGAGAATTGTCGGGCTAGTCCCTGGACTAAGTATTTTCATTTGTCTTGCAGCTCACGGCCAAGTGATTACCGAGTGGCTTGCATATACAGGGATTGCGATTAAACATTCCACATTCCGTCCTAAACATGGCCAGATACCCGCACTTTCTTTTCTTTTTCTCAAAGGCTGGGAGTCGGGGTTCTTGATATCTACAACAACTGCTTTGACAGATTTGCCCCTCAGGCTCTTCCGTTCCATTCTTTCCAGAGCCATTTGCTTCACCATGGCCTCCCATGAGCTCAAGCAAATGGCGCCTGCCGCTCCACACGAGTTAGAAGGCCGCCCTTTGAGTAAAGAGACAGATGATGTCAATTTGATACGCTTGGGCAAGCGCCCTGTCTTGAAGGTACTACCTCTGCTATACAACTGTCTATGCTTTCTGTCCCTTGCTTATCGTCATTAGCGGAATTTCGGCTTGATGTCAATGTTGGGGTTTAGCTGCACGATCCTCATCACGTGGGAAGGCATTGTCGTGTATGTACTTTACATCGATGGATTGGAATATTTGGCGTGTTCAATCTTACTGATATATGAGCAGACTATTCTTGCAAGCGTTTCAAAAGTATGGAGTCAACCCCGCGATTCATTTGTTCCGTGAGATATTAATAGAAGTGTTCCAGTGGAGGCCCAGCAGGAGCCGTGTATGGTTTTATCTTCGTTTGGGCCGGCGTTGCAGCGACCTTTGTGGTTTTATCAGAGCTGGCATCAATGTATGAAACACCCTATCGTGGTATAATGGATTCTATAATGACATTTTCCTAGGGCTCCAACATCCGGCGGCCAGTATCATTGGTGCTCTATGCTGGCGCCTCCATCTGCGATGAAGCTCTTCAGCTATCTAACAGGTGAGCACTTCGTCAGACCTGCGACAAGAACTATTCGTTCCTACTCTTACCCTGCAACCAAGGCTGGCTCACTGTCATCGGATGGCAAGCGACTTTTGCAACTTCGTGCTTTCTTTCTGGAACGCTCATCCAAGGCCTTATCGTCCTCACAAACTCTAGTTATGAGCCCGAGAACTGGCATGGGACTCTCCTTTTTTGGGCTGTCGCTGTTTTCTCCGTGGGGATCAATAGTGTAGGAGGAAACCTGCTGCCCCGTTTTGAGGGCCTGATCCTCATCCTCCACATTCTCGGTTTCTTCGCCATTCTTATCCCGCTAACATACATGGCGGATCACTCGAGTGCGCAGGAGGTGTTCACCCACTTCCTGAACCTGGGCGAATGGCCCACGCAGGGCTTGTCATTCTTTGTCGGTCTCGTCGGTTGCGTGTTTGCATTTGCAGGGGGTGACGCTGCTGTTCATGTACGATTCTTAGTTTCAGCTGCAGGTGAGAACAGATGCTGACTCCTATCTGCAGATGTCCGAAGAAATCACAAACGCGCCAGTTGCTGTCCCACGATCTATCATGCTTAGTGTTCTCATCAACGGAACGTTGGGTTTCAGCATGCTAATCGCCATGTTGTTCTGCCTGGGAGATATCGAGGCAGCCCTCGAGTCTCCAACTGGTTACCCATTCATGGCAATTTTCCTCCAAGCGACGCAGTCTGTGGCCGGCACAGCAACCATGGGCTCCATCATCACGACCATGGGAATTTGCACATCGGTCGGCATGTTGGCCTCCACATCACGGCAATTTTGGTCTTTTGCGAGAGATCGCGGAATCCCCGGCTGGCGCTTATGGAGCAAGGTATGTACATACATCACAACCCCCGATCCTCCCCCACGTACTCCGCCTTCAAGCCCCCTTCCTACTATACAAACAATCGATCACTAACCTACATCTAGGTGACCCCCGAATCCGCCATCCCGATTTACTCCGTCGGCCTCACAACGATAGTCGCCTGTCTATTAGCCCTAATCAACATCGGCTCCTCGGTCGCCTTCAACGACCTCGTCTCCATGTCCATCTCCGGCCTCTACCTCTCCTACATGGTCGTCGCCAGCCTCCTCCTCTACAGACGCTGCACAGGCGGCATCAGCAGCTCCAAGAGCAGCGAGGACGCCATCGTCAACACAGCCGGCGCAAAGCTCGTCTGGGGGCCCTTCCATCTACCCGGTATTTGGGGTATCCTAGTCAATACCTTCGCGCTTATATATATGACGATCGCAGTCTTCTTTAGTTTCTGGCCGCCGCAGCATACGGTCACGGTGGATACGATGAACTTTAGTGTGGTTGGCACGGTGGGGGTTATTATTTTGAGTCTTGTGTATTATGTCCTAAGGGCGAGGAATGTGTATGAGGGGCCTATTGTTGAGATGCATCTTTGATTTTTGTTAATGTGTTTATACTATACTATCCGATATATCGGTGGTTGGATGGTGGTAGATCTATTAGTCTGTCTAGTACTTTTACTTTTGGGATTTAATTTTGGAGGTGGTTTCCTATCTTCTGATATATATATACATCATGATCTATTCTCTATTATTAACGTGTTTGTTTCTCTGGGGAGGACGAGGCTAGATTAACTGCCATTTCTTTTTTAAGTCGTTTGAATACTGCTACGGGTGCAATGCAGATGTCTTGCCGGTTGGTATACTTTAGGCAGCAAGCTCCTAATCCACTGGCATGATTGACCCAGGTCGGTCACAGATCAAAATCTATGTGGCCGAGCAGACAGTGAGTAAACTGGACGCATCTCTGGACACTCGGCTATTGACATGAAGGCTCCATCACTATCAGTGGTTTACGACTACTCCGGGAACTATGGGGTCGGGCCGAGTGGCTCGGTTAGTTTCATGTATACTATGTGGATATCAGAGTTAGTGTTTAATCAGAAGATGGGACCCCCAATGGTCCATGTTTCCATAACTTTCTATGGTTTCTCGGGCAGTCTGAGCCTTTTTAAGGGGCACCGATGCATGTCCAGGTGGAGTACCACTCATGTAAAGGGCCCACATGGTATGTGTGTTCAAGCTCTTGCAAGCCAACGACTATATGCAATGGCTTGCATATCCGAACATGCATGGGGCGAGACTGGGACGGGTTGGGGGTAAATACCATATCTGGGAAGGATGTGAGTGATTTCGGCATCTGATTCTTTGCTTTCTTTTCGTGTATCTAAAGGTAATAGGTAGTCCGGTTTCACTAGCCTTCATCGGCGAGGGCTTTGTTGCTTGGGGAGTCTTTTACCCGTTGCCCTAGGGAGGACACGGAGTTGTTCCAGTATGGCTTCTCCCGTGACACCCTTGCTGAGATCATGGGATGAAATGCTTAGCAGTATGAGTATATCATGCCTTCGGCAAATGGCAGTACTTTGGTGGTGAAGGTCGATGGGTTATTGGAACCATAACTGAACCTAGATCGAAATGCTATGTTTTACATTCAATCATGTACTGCCATTGAGGCCTGAGTCTCCCCCAAGGTCCTTGATTGGCAAGCATATAAAAGCAGCCTTTACAGCCCCATATTCAGATATGCTACAGAAAATTGAGATACCATCAACGCATCAACATTATCTCAATCCAAGCCTAGAAAAGACACAAGCCGATATTGAGAAGTTTAAGAAATAGAATTCTTCTAGAATGTCTATAGTTCAAAGCAATATATCTAAACCGATCATCATAACATTACATGACTCATCATTGCAGAAAATGATACCAGAAAAAAAAAACACAAAAGGTATAAAACGTGACTGATTACCTTTAACACCAGGGAAGTCCACCTCAGCAGTGATTGATTCAAGCTGAAGCGGCCTTCACATCCTCCTCGTTGCTCATGATCTGGACCTTGATGGCTCCCGTCTTGGGGTCTGCAGCAGTTTCGAAGGCCTTGAGAGCGTCCTCCAAGAGGAAGCGATGTGTAACAAGCTTCTTCAGGCTGATGACACCGTTCCTCACGAGGCGAATGGCGCGGGGCCAGGTGTTGCAGTAGCGGTACTGGTACTGAAGGTCGATCTCTTGGGTACTCAGGCGCATGAACGGAATCTTCATCTCGTTCTTGCCCACGCCGATCACGAAGACCTTGCCGCCGAACTTGACGCTCCAAATGGCGGATGCGACACTGCTCTCGACACCAGTGCACTCCAGTGCTAGCTTAGGCTTCAGAGCATCAGGGGCGGAGCCCTGGCCATCGTTGAAAGCATCGATAATGCCCTGAGCGTTATCCTCGGCGGACAGATTGGTCTGCACCTTGTAGGTGATAACGTCGGGAACCAACGACTTGGCGAATGCTAGTCTTCCCTCGTCGATATCGGTGATGACAATGGGTGTTGCGCCCGCGGCGCGGGCACTAAGGAGAGTGATCAAACCGATGGGACCAGCACCGGTGACAAGAACAGGGTCGCCCAAGCGAAGCCCGCTTCGCTCAATTGCAGCCAGAGACACACTGAGGGGTTCCAACAGAGCACCATCTTCATAGCTCATATCGCCGATCTTGTGGCACCAGACAGCTGGGTGGTTGACATAGCGCCGCAGCAAACCGTCTACGGGAGGAGTGGACAGGAAAAGTACCTTGTCACAACCGTTGTAACGTCCAGTCAAGCAAGGTTCGCAAGCGTGGCAGGGAATGTTGGGCTCGACGGCGACACGATCGCCTGGCTTGAGATGGGTGACATCGGGGGCAACTGCGATCACTTCACCGGCCGACTCGTGACCCAGGATGTGGTCTCCCGTGACAATCATGGGACCAATGCAGCCGGCATGCCAGAAATGCACGTCGGATCTATTGTGAGCACCAATCGTCAGTTTGAGAACATGTCGCTAGGGAACAAAAGCGCATACCCGCAAATTCCAGTACTGCGAACCTGAACTGTGACCTCACCGGGCTTCAAGCTCTCGCCACTCTTCACCTCCTCAAGTGTCGGTTTTGATTCGGCGACCCACAAGTCGTGGTTGGTGTTGGTGTAAACACCAATGTTGGCCTTCTCGAGGACAGTTGCGGTAGCCATGATGTGCAGGGAAGGAGGTCTGGGTACTGACGGTAGGAGGATCGAGAGGAGTGAGGGAATGCAGCAAGAAAGACAGGCAAGAGGATTAGGGGAGCCAAAGCTTTAATAGCTGCCCGACGGAGCTACCCCTCCAAGATGGGGAAAGTGAAAAGGAGCATTGAAAATATTTTCAATCAGACCCAGCTCGCAAAGTCACTGAGGCTCCTGATTGCGCATGAAAGACGGTCAACCATCAAGCCGATACTACTGCTCCCTCTTCCTGCGGGACGGAGTGGAGGCATCGTGGCACCCATCACTGGCCCAGATTTTATTTAGCCGGTGCCCCGCGCCCGCGGGGTCACTTCTGGGGCATCACCATTGGTCGCCATTGGAAGTCATGGTGCTCGCTGAGTCTCCGGAGAATTGACCCATTACCATATCTGGATGGTATAGCCTCAGTATGACCGGCGCTTTGAGCGGAATATCTTTGGCCGCCTTTCTATCGCAGACACCTACTGATGCTTTAGGAAACTATAGGAACCAGGAGCGGCTTCGCGAACCCTGGCCATTAATGAAATGGGAAATGGTTGCGCATACAAAGTATCTCTTGGAGAGATTCTCTACCAGTAAAGATGATGGCGAATAGGCTATGAATGGTTCTATTTGTTGTTAACTAAATGTCCGAGCATCATGATGGTTGATTGAAATTCTTCTAGAACGAATGCCATCTTGTTCAATGAGTTGATAATATATCCACCAAATCGAAAGCCCGTCAGAGAATGGAAGATGCTATTTCAAAACTGATAACCTAGTTATCTAGCTCTATCTGAAACTGATCTGCTGCAGAATAACATAGGGTTCTCTCGGTTAAATAGGGATTTTAGCCATTTTTGAGCAATGAACGACCACTAAACGCGAATTTTCGACATCTTGCGCCTCCACAAGAAAAATGAATAAGAAAACCTGAATCCACAAGCATTATCATTTTTTTTTGTCTAACAAATCATGTAGCATTCATTGGTTTTGGTGCCTGGGCCAGAACCATAGTTCAGTGGGATTTTCCCAGAGGGGAAATTCTCCGGTGGAAACGTCGCCTTCTTTGGTGGAGAATCCAGAAGGCCGTTCGATGCTCTTGTTATCCATCCCGACATGCTCACGGGTTCACTCGGCAACTCTCAATCCCTCTCCGATCCTGAAGTTTTGGACAGCCATAGGACGGATTAATTCTTCCTATCGGTTTCACTGTGAGCCGTTACTCGGTCTTCCGAAATGTCATCTGATTCGACCTGTCTCGGATTGATTTGGAGCTGCTACATATCGAACATCTTCTCCGTCCGACAGCTATTTATAAATAGCGATAGTGTTCTACAACAATATAACTATTCGAGGACAGCAGATCACAAAGAGGGCTTGTAAAATTCAATAACATTGAATTTCCGAAAAGCGCCATAGTTTGGGATTGTGTCTCAAGAGCCACTCATCGAATCGGTTCTCTGAATTATATGGCTTTGTAGGGTATCCTCGCAGTTGATTTGGCACATGGCTTCTCTGAGTCGGCTTTGATTAACGTGCTATTCTTCTATGACTTTCCTGCGTCACGAATGATAATTGAACAAACGCATTGCGATTTGACATCGCCAATAGTGTTACCTAAGGCATTCTTAAAGATGCCATATATGATGCCGACTCGCTGCGATTGGCCAGCAGTTTTGTCAGTCCACTCGCCAGAAGCCTCTCTTACTCTAAGAACTTCTAGAGAAGTTCTAGCAGAAAAGCTTAATGCATCCTCGTACCACAAATGAAGCTAACTCAAGTATGGGACCAATCTCCCGCGAGAAACCCCTTAGGACCTCGCTATAGAGTCCTGTAGATAGCGTGTCAGCAATGTCACTCACGCTAAGCACCTGATCAGAGTTTTGCCGATATCATGAGCGTATAAAGTGTTTCATATCCTGCGCTCTTTCGTTTTGGTCTCAAAACTTCGTATACTAGAGTTTGAGCATTGTTTGTCCAATGGTCCAAGGCCATTCAGGAGGAGCCCACGAGGTTAATCAAGTCTTATATATACACATACATAAGGCTCGCCAATCTCTTAAACAACTAGTCCGCTCTATCGCGGGCCCGGCCCAGTATTTCGTATGCCCTCGGAGATTTTGGTGTAGCCATACTATCGTAATTATGGCTTTGATGAACTCTCCAGAATTTTAAACCTCCGAGAGCTCTAAACAACATACTTTTCAGTATTTGGAGACCCAATGCGCTGGTTCATTAACTGTTGATATTAGATCTCAGCAAAAGCCTGCACTCGTGGATCGTAGGCCCGAGGGAAATATAAATATTGCGCGCAGTTTGTGTGATGCTTGCCTGCTTCCATAGAGTTACTGCCTGAGCGAGTTCATCCCCATCAGGCTGCGCTTGGCTCTCTGACCGTGAATTTCTAAGGACTCCCTACCCTTCCAGAAAGTGATGCAGTTTTTCGTCATCTGAGGAGATATCAAATAGGCGCATTTCATTGTCATCAGAAAAACGTCGCGTAGATCAATGCCGAATTAGACATTAGCCGTATTTTCATAATGGCTTGCTTAGGATCAGAGTAATCAAGCAAGTAGCTAACAATTGATGAAGTACTCAATTGAGTTCTCTTGAAAAATGTGTGATGGGATGACAGAAGATTCGTGCCTAGTAGTCATTGAAAAATAATGCCGAATGCTGCTGTTGGTCGCCTAGTAGTTCATGGACTGTTGACTTTGGGAGTATGCGCTATTGCTCATGGTCGGCCCGCTGGATGGCATGTCAACAGTGCCGTTGTGCACGTGACCCAATGGGGAGAGCGTTTTCCCTGAACTTCCCGAGCCTCAAATCTCAGATTCTGGTCCTGCAATTGCGCGACGATCCAGTATCTCCGGCTCTTGACCCCACCGCCATTGGACTCCTTCGTCCTCCCTCTGCCACTTTTAAAAGTCTTTCTCTCCTTTTACAGTCTTTTTCTTTTTTGTGGTCTCCAAGATGCCCGCTACGGCGTCCCGTGCCGTTCTTCGGCAATCGCAGTTCCTGACCCGGAGGACCGCTGTCAGATACGCCTCTTCCACCTCGGAGACTGCTCAGAAGGCTGGTGAGGCTGCATCCTCTGCTGCCTCCAAGGCGTCTGAGGGTCTCTCTCGTGTCACATCGACCGCTGGCCCCGCTCTTTCGAATGCCGCTCAGGGCGTCGGCAGTGCTTTGAGGAAGGTTGGTGGAAGGACCGGAAAAGTCATCGCTTTCGTCGATTGTAAGAAGATCTCCAATGTCTCCGTCTTTTAAAAACTCGCTCTTCCCTGCCAGCTGTGGGAGCCGTGGTCATCACTGCCATTGCTACCACGACTCCTGCGTTGGGGCGCGCGCCAGCCACTTCAACCTCCGCCGATATGTGTATCAGCATCGCTAACTATACTGGGATGAAACAGCTATGATACCCCCCACCCTCTACTACGGCAAGGTCGGCCTTGAACTCGCCAAGCTCGTTTTCCGTGGACAGAACATGACTCCTCCGTAAGCGCTTCCATATGACCGACAGAGTACCCGGCATTGACTAACATCCCGCAGCAACCTGGCTACCTTCCAGTCCTTCTACCAGCCTCTGCTCAACGCTTTCCGCAGCCCTGCCGCCCTTAAGAACGCCAACTTCGTGTCGCCGGGAGACATCGCCGCCCGTGTCCGCAATGCCAACAAGAAGGAAATCGCCCTGGCCGGTGTTACTCTCGCGGAGGTTATCGGATTCTTCACCGTCGGTGAGATGATCGGTAGAATGAACATTGTCGGCTACAGGGGCCACCCTGAGCACCACGGAGACCACTAGATCACCCGCAAGCACTAATGCATGGCCTGTCTTTTTTATATTTCCTTTTATCACTGCGTTCTGTACTATTGTATGATAGACGATGGAATTTAACTGTTGTCTGAGGTAAATCACGCACTTTTGGAGGATTCCCTCTTCTCCCTTGGATGCTTCACTTTCGATATACATGTCAACTGTTGCTCTTCTTGTTCTTTTCCTATTCTACCTGTGTCAAAAGTGGAAGTCGTATAGAGATGTCCGTCAATTATGTGTTAGACGTGCGTTTGAATTGATCATTCGTTACTATCTCCTAGTCCTACTGATATCTACGTAGCCAGCATCAATGACAAGGGTGTAACAATTGCAAACCTCTAGAATGCAATACATAATAAAAATACCGCTCCGAAGCAAGGGTAGGTACCTCCCTCCACCATAGTGAAATTTCTAGAACGGGCCCTGGAATCAAATCAATTTAATGCTAGCAGCTTTTTTGTGGAGTCCGGTTTAAGGTACGGTACCGTAACAGATGGAGAAACACAACGCTGATTGGCCCGTGCGGGAAAGAATTTCTGCTTTCCAACTTTTTTTTTTATACCGCGTATCCAACCACCACCACACCTCTATAGCTTGTAAACCCGTCGCAGCTATTCTCATAGCACCTTTCTTTCAACACGGGGCGACATAGCTGCCAGTTACAGCGATGGATGCTTTCAAGCTGTTGACCCGGTCGACCAAATTCAAGGCCGGTCCCAGCCCGTCTTCAGCATCACTTCCCTCGACGGGCAAGGCGGAGAACCCGCAGCTGTTTCGTAATTCCGAAGCTGAGAAGCTACTGGAAGAACAAAAAAATGGCAAGAAGAGAAAGAGGGGTTCTGCGGCGGATGAGCCAGAGGAACGTGAGCCCAATCTGGACTTCTTCAGCTCTAATAAGGGATCTTCAAAGAAGGTTGTGAAGACCGAAGCGGCGCCTTCGGATGAAGAACGCGGATCTGGCTCGGAAGACGAAGACGAAATGGATGAAGTGCAACGCCGGACGATATTGAATTCTCACAAGATCAAAGTGACGGACATGCGCGAGCTTGAGGAAATCCAACCTGTGCAGGCGCAGGGTGAAGAGGAACCGAAGAAGAAAAAGAAGAAGAGAAAGCAGAAAGAAGAGGCTGCTCAGACTCTCACTAAAAAGGAGCAGAAGAAGGCTCGGCGGTTATTCCCGCGGCCTCTTGTTTCTTTCAAGGAGTTGCGCACACAGCACAAGATCTCGCGCCGCCTGGCGGAGAATATCGCCGAACAGGGCTTTACGGTGCCTACGGAAGTGCAGTTGGGGACTCTGCCTTTGTTGTTGGGTGATCGGACGATTGTCCAGTCCAAGACAGATGAGCCGGTTGAGCCGGATCTTTTGGTCGTTGCGCCTACGGGAAGTGGAAAGACCCTTTCGTTCTTGATTCCGGTTATCAATAAGATTGTGCGCCACCATCATGAGCAGCAAGAGGAGCGAGGCATTTTTGCGGTCATTGTTGCGCCGACTAAGGAGCTAGCTAGTCAGATTGTTAACGAGGGGAGAAAGTTGGTCTCGGGAACTGGTGTTAAGATCACGTTAATGAAGAAGGGCATGCAGGTGGTGGAGCGTGTGGACGGTGACGAGGACATTTTGGACGAGGGCAGCTCCGAATCTTCCGAGTCAGAGGACGACGAAAAGACTACCGAGAAGAAGAGCAAGGCCAAGGCCCCTGTCACTAAGAGCGACATTCTCGTAACGACTCCTTTGCAACTGGTCAATGCACTCTCTGCAAACAAAACAAAGCCTATGTCTACATTGCCCTTGGTGAGGAATATTGTCCTTGATGAGGCAGATGTTCTCTTGGATCCCTTGTTCCGCGAGCAAACCCTTGATATCTGGCGCGCCTGCACACACCCTGAGCTTCGAGCAAGTCTATGGTCAGCTACCATGGGTTCGAGCATTGAAGACCTCGCCAAGTCCACAATCAAGGAGCGCAAAGATGCTTCAAGTCTCACAAAGTCTTACCCATTGTATCGCCTCGTCGTTGGATTGAAGGACTCTGCCATTCCAAATATCCAGCATAAGTTGGTCTACGCTGCAACAGAACAAGGAAAACTACTCGGTCTAAGACAACTCCTCCATCCCGCAGCGGCGGCAGCATCAGATATTCGCCTTCGTCCGCCGTTCCTGATCTTTACCCAAACTATTCCTAGAGCCGTGGCACTCCATTCAGAATTGCGCTACGATATCCCTCCAGAAGCCGGTGGCTCATCGCGTATCGCTGTCCTCCACTCCGATCTTTCGGACGGCCAGCGCTCGGAGATTATGAAGAACTTCCGCAAGGGCGAGATCTGGATCCTCGTTACAACTGATCTTCTGGCTCGTGGTATCGACTTCCGCGGCATCAACGGTGTTGTCAACTACGATATTCCGAACTCAGCGGCTGTCTATGTTCACAGAGTTGGGCGCACGGGCCGGGCCGGTCGTGAAGGTGGTATCGCAGTGACATACTACACGAAGGAAGATATTCCTTACGTGAAGAGCATTGCCAACATTATCGACGTTAGTGAGAAGTTACGGGGAACGGAGGGCGAAAAGTCAGTCCAGAAATGGCTTCTAGACTCTCTCCCCGACCTCAGCAAGAAGGACAAGAAAGAGCTGAAGAAACACGGCGTCAAAGCCAGACAAACGAATCTCAAGGGCGTGGCAGATGACAAGCAGCAGCGGAAAACAAGAATCAGCACGAAGAGCGGCTTCGAGCGACGCATGGAAAACAAAAAGAAGGGCGCAATCGCAGCGAGCCGTAACAGGAAGCTCCAGGGACCATCCAAATCGGGGGCGGAGTCTGATAGCGGCGACGACGGCTGGGGCGGCATTCAAGAGTAAAAAAAAAGTGCCAAAAATCTTATGCATAATACTCTGTACACAAATGAAATTACGATTCCCCTTCCAAACAATGGATACCAATCACGAGTTATCATTTTTCTTAGCTTGCTGGGCTTGGGCTTGTTGTAAAAGCTGTTCAATCAGCTTCCGCTTCAAAGCGATAGGCGCAAACGCATTATCCAATTTGTCCTGTTCCTCCAGAACATACTCCAACTCATCCCCATCGCGATCAAAATAAACCGCCCAGTCCCCATCCTCCTCCTGCACCGCATAAAAATCCGGACTCTCCTCCAGCGTTATCGTCGTCTCATCCTCCGTCCAATCCCACGGCCCAACAACATGTTCAACACTCGCCGTGCGGTTCCCATACTTCAACTCATGCGTATCCTTATCCACATAAATCCACCCCAGCATAGGCGGATTATCCGAAATCGTAGTAACAAGCCCCAACCCCCGCTTCAAATGTTTCGTCTCCTCCAGCTCCGGATACTCAATGTAAAACGAAGTCACCGTATGCGACGGAAGCTTACGCTTCGAAGGATTCGGATCATCGAGATAAACCTACACGAAAACGTGATTTCCAGATCAGCCATATGCATGCGCGCGCGCACGAAACAAATGCAGTGATGGGGAGCCCCGCATACCTTGTTATTCCTTAATACGAACCGCTTCCCGCATACTTCGCTGTCTTCTTGGGTTTCGCCGTTGGTTTCCACGTCGATGAGGAATTTGGCCATGCGCCTCTCGTCGTTTTTGCGCTCGTTTGCTTTGCGCTGTTCGCTTACGCCTAGCGCAACACCTGTTACGGTGGGAATTGCGGCTATTGTCAATAGGCCGATGACCATTTTGGTGGGTTGACTAGAGTGAGATAGATGTTGATCTAGGATATGAGTGTTTTGGGGTTTGTTTCAAGTTGGAAGTTGTGGTGGTTATATATAGGGAATCAATATTTGAATTTGCAATAATATTATATGTACAGACAGAAAGAAAAAGAAACGGTAATATAGATCTGTGGCGATAGGAATACTAGTTGATTTATTGTGATAATGCTCAGGAACACAATGCCGTCATAGGTCTAGGCACGTGAGCGGGCATTTGGTCGTATCGTGCCTGATACAGAGGGACGCTTAGTTACATCCGTGGAACTCAACAATGAACGACAAAAGTTACGATCAGATGGTATCCTATCGCTGTCATTGTTCTATTGTCAATTTCTCATGCTAACTTGATAACAATATAGACAGTGCATGCAAAGCTCTCATGTAATGTTCTATACTAACGATGGGCCGACCGATCGCTGCGCAGGGACATCTATGTAGTCTATCTATTCTCTATCGTCGCTCGTTGATCGTGGATTTTCGTGACATCGTTCTAGCCCAGTTGATATGATCTGGCAAACCAGACCAATGGAATTATGAGCCATGGCAGGCTAGAGTTTCTCGCTCCACCCCCAAACGGACCACCAGCATCGAACTGCCAGCGCTCCTCCATCTGCCGACTCCCAGTCATCGTACCCTATCTCCTCTCCCTCATGAACCGCCTCTAGACCAAGCTGCCCCATGCGCTCACGGAACTCTTGGACCTGCGGCAAGTATGCATCTCGCAGAGGCATTTCGGTCACCACGCGTGCATCAAGGCCGCGGCTCAACCAGTGTCCGATGGTCTGCACGAGCCATTTGGGATGCTTGGGGGAATACAGGGGGTCGGCCGCCAGGATCAGGTCGTATTGTTTCTCTTGAGTAGGGAGAAGCTCGGGCGCAACGGACCAGTCCAGCACGCCAGTCGTGACAGTCGCGGCCGTGTTGGTAAGTAGCTCCACATTCAGGGCGGTATTGTGGGCGAGGTTAGGAACAATATCGGGGAGGTCTGTAAGATGAATCGAAGCCGACTGTCCGCGGATGGCCGCAAAGGAAAGGCCCACAAGTCCCGTTCCAGCGCCTAGCTCTAGGGCCCGAAGTGTGCGATCTGTCTTTGGGGTGGGGATCGTCGTCTCAGATGGGACGAGTTGCGGAGTTGATTCGAGGAGAGAGTGGAGTCGTTGGGAGAGAAGGTACGAGGATACCCAGGTTTTCATCCCTAGGTTGTCGGCAGTCAAGGATGGTTCGTGCAGGGTCAGGGTCAGCTCTTCACCCGACGGACTGGGAATTGTGAAGACACGGGACATGGCAGGCATCGCTATTGGAAGACCCCCAAGTTAGACAACACTAAACTCCTGGAAACAGTCAACTACAATTATATTGCTCATACCGGCTCGCCCAGAGCGCTCGCTGAGTCGAGCAGCAGCAGCATCCCAAACAGCTTCCCGAAGCTCATCGGTATCTAGCCATGAAAGGGGGCTCGAGATGATAGACGTCAAATAGCGCGGTACTCCGGTCGGATGAACAGTTGGAGCCTTCACCGCTTCATGGCTACTTGAAGCGAAACTTTTTGGTTTGATCGCTAAGATATCAAGAGCTCGTAGAAGTTCGGTTCCAGACGGTTTAGTATGGATTTGAGGCAGGTCGAACACTGAAACGCTTATCAGCCCACCATCGCTCCTATCAGTTCGGGGAAACTGGGGACACATACCGTGGAGAGGCTCGTCGAGGTCCGCGCTGATCATTGTAGCGGTCTGATGAACAATGGAGTTTGACTATAGCGGGTCTAGACCAACACAAAGGGGGATGAGAGCCTTTCTCTTCTTATATCTGCCTTGCCTGTGGCAAAACAGGTGGGCGGTTCTCGATGCACAAAAAAAAAGTCGTGATTGCCCGAAAAGGAAAGGGCGGATCACGACGTTCCGCGGGTCGGATCCGCTCTGGACCCAAAGATAAGGCCCAGAGCAGTGCCTGATTCTGCAGTAGATCAATTACAACTCGACAGAAGGTTGTTTTAATTTCAGAATACAAATTTTTGAACCTGAACCAATATAGCTACAATTATTCAAGATCAATCCCAGACGCCTTTCGCCGAAGCCCACCCTAGCCACCGTTTTAAACGGTATGACATGTCTAATTCAACCTAACGTCGACTTGAACCCTTGGTAGGCTTGTTCAATGTCAAAGGACAGCTCTCGCGCCTGGTCCTCACTCAGTTCTTCTGTCGCACGCATCTGGTTCAATGTGATTAGCCACTGAATGATTTTGCCCCGGTTGTCGAAGTCCCCGTCCGTCACCTTGTTGACGGACTGGATCACCTCGGAGAGTAGTGGGTGGAGCGCATCCTTCGACACCATATTCAGCTTTAACGCATCGAGGAAAGTGATAAAGTTCTCCGTGGCCGTTAGGATCAGGCTGCCTGAAGCACCTCCATTAGGGCCTGCTGTCGAGCCCATATTAGCTGCTGGTGCGTTGTGACTGGCCTGCTCGACAGTCGCAGGAAGCCCGATACGAAGACGTTCGGTAGCACGGGGACATTCCAACTAGCGAAAGTAAAACGATTAGAACCAGTTTTCCCAGAACAAGGTTGACTAAAAGGAACACACCCCCCAGGTTCGCTTGAAGGTCTCCAGATCGACAAACTCATGGGCGACGCTGTCGTCCCCCAAACTAGACTTGTACTGCTTCAGTAACCGAGTACACGTTTCTGTGTACTCCGCTTCCGTAACCACATCCTTAATGTAAGCCTTCTCGAGGCCATCAAGGGTGACTATGATGCTGTAAATTTCAGCCAGCGACTCATATAGATCGCGCTCGGCCGAGCTGGAGGCTAGTTTAACTTCCTGGCATGGGCGTTAGCCAGCTGCCCCGCAAGCAAGCCAGGCACCCCAGCATACCTCATCGAGATTGATGGACGCAGATAAGGCCGGATTAGGGGTATAGCTGTAAGGAGTCGGCGCATACGCCAAAGGGCGCTGGGCATACATTGCGATTTACAGTTCTTTCTATACGTCAGTTTGCGACGGCAGATAATCAGAGACACTCGGAGGGGGAACAAAAGGCGGTGGCCCAATTTGGGCGACCGGCGCCGCCATTTTCTGCCGCATAATCTTCTAAATTTTTTACCCAAGAAAAAAAAAAACTTTGAGTCTCTTCTAATTTGGTGAAAGACTTTCACCTCCATTGATTTTCCCCATTTTGTACATTTGTTCCCATCTGCACGGTCAGATTGGGGCTTTGCGACACAATGGCCGGAAGTCAGAAGAAATCCACCAAGAAGTTTGAGAAGAGGCATCTGAAGGATGTCCTCGAACGACGAAAGGCGGCTGCGAAAATCAAGCAGCGTAACCATCTGAAGGACAAGCGCAAGGCTGATAATGCTAAGGCACGCGCCGACGCTCATGATTCCGCAGACGAAAATCCAGAGGAAACGAAGAAACAGGATGCTTTTGCTCAGATGAATGTGGACGACTTCTTTTCGGGCGGTTTCGATATTGCAGACGCCGACGCCGGTCAAGCTAAGAAGGCGAAGAAGAAGGATGTCACCCCTAAGACTGGCAAGCGCAAGCGCACGGAAGAACAGAAAGGCGAGGATGAAGATTCTGCAGCAAGCAGCGGAGAGGAAGACGGTGTCCCATCAGACGACGAGGCTGCCTCGGACGCCAGTGGAGCCGACGATTTCGAAGCGCACAAGGGCCAGCTTGAAGCCCTCAAGGAGAAGGATCCAGAATTCTATAAATATCTCAAGGAGAATGATGCCGAGCTCCTGGACTTCGGCGACCATGGTGATCTCGCGGAAGTGGACGAGCTGAGTGAAGCGGAGGAAGAGCAACCAGCGAAGAAGAAAAAGAAGGCTGCCCGGGAGGAGGAAGAGGAACCGACAACCGACAACACACTTACCATTGCCATGGTAAAGAAATGGCAAAAGCTGATGGAAGAGCAGAACTCGATTAGAGCAATGCGACAGGCTGTCCTCGCTTTCCGGTCTGCCGCCTACCTCAACGATGTTGACGCGCAGGAGCAAAAATACTCTATCAGAGAATCCGACGTATACCATGAAGTTCTTGTTACCGCCCTTGGCTCTGTCCCTAGAGTTCTGTCGCATCATCTCCCCGTCAAGGAGACTGCCTCCGGCAAAGTCAAGGTGTCTATGGATTCGAAGAAGTTCAAGACGCTTACGCCTCTTATCAAGTCCTATACCTCCTCCGTCCACCAATTGCTCACGAATTTGTCCGATGCACAGACACTGAAGCTCACACTCTCTTCTATTGAACCTATGCTTCCTTACTTGCTTCAATTCAGGAAGCTCCTGAAGGTTCTCATCAAAACCATTGTCGGTATCTGGGCCGATGTATCCACTACGGAAGCCACACGTATCACCGGATTCCTGCTGTTACGGCGTCTCATGGTTATCGGAGACGCTGGGCTGAAGGAAAGTGTCCTCAAGGCCTCCTATGAGGGTGTCGTGAAGGGCAGCCGGAACACCACCGTCCACACTCTGGCCGGCGTGAACCTGATGAAGAACTCCGCCGCCGAGCTGTGGGGTATCGACCAGAACGTGTCCTACACCGCGGGCTTCAACTTCATCCGCCAACTTGCCATCCATCTCCGCAGCAGCATCACAAACACCTCCAAGGAGTCCTACAAGACGATCTACAACTGGCAGTACGTGCACTCGCTCGACTTCTGGTCCCGCGTTCTCTCACAGCACTGCGATGGCCTCGCCGAAGCCAAAGCCGGCAAGCAATCCGCCATGCGCCCCCTCATCTACCCCGTCGTCCAAATCACCGTCGGCGCGATGCGACTCATCCCCACCGCAACCTACTTCCCTCTCCGCTTCCAACTCACCCGTGCCCTCCTCCGTCTCTCCCGCTCCACAGGAACCTACGTCCCACTGGCCCCGGCCCTCCTCGAGGTCCTCAACCTCGCCGAGATGCGCAAGCCCCCGAAATCAAGCACCCTGAAACAACTCGATTTCAACACCGCCATCCGCGCCCCGAAATCCTACCTCCGCACCCGCGTCTACCAAGACGGCGTCGGCGAACAGGTCGCCGAGCTCCTCTCCGAGTTCTTCGTCCTGTGGACCAAGCACATCGCTTTCCCCGAACTCTCCGTCCCCATCGTGGTCTCCCTGAAGCGCTGGCTGAAGCAGGTCAGCTCGCGCTCCGGAGGAAACAAGAACGCCAAGATCAACCAGATGATCCTTCTTCTGGTGCAGAAGGTTGAGGCTAACGCCCGCTGGATCGAAGACCGCAGAGCCAGCGTCACTTATACCCCGCGCAACCGTGCCGAAGTTGAAAACTTCCTCAAAGACGTCGATTGGGAATCGACTCCGCTCGGCGCATTCGTTAAGTCTCAGCGGAAGATCCGTGAAGAGAAGGCCACCCTTCTTGAAGAGGCGAGACGTGAAGAAGAACAGCGGAGAGCCGAGGAGAAGGCTGCTGATAAGGAGGATGTGACGATGGGTGGCTTCAGTGAGGGTGATGAGGGTAGTGAAGATGCCTCCTCAGATGGTGAAGAGGAGGAGGAGGAGGAGGAGGAGGAAGAAGAAGAAGAGGACGAGGACGAGGACGAGATGGAGTTTGAAGAAGAGGAGGATTAGATGATGCTTTTATCGCCATTTATATTGTATCAGTGATGGCACTATTTCCCCCTATATCAGGTTCCCCGTAGCTATTTCAAGACATGTTTTCTTTTACTCTGATGTCGACGTATACAAAAGTTGAAATGCATAGGCACTATCTACGCAATAACGCATCTCAAATGCCAGAAACATTTTATATGTGATAAATCTACCAAATGTACTAATATATGAACTTAAAAACAAAAAGCCAAGCAAAGACAGTAAATAACATCAAGTAAAACATACAAAACACAGGATAATTCAAATATTCCAATCTGTATCAACAAACTTTTATATACGAAAAGCGACAATTTCACCATGGTCCCATGTGACACACATTGCATCGAATCCACACCGTCTCACCACGCATAGAAACCTTAGCGGTGCCAATGTCACATAGGAAACGTACGGCATGATGTCTATAGTTTTCAGAAGATTTAAACAGCCCCAACAGGCATTCTGTCTGCACCCCAGGCAAGAGTTTTCTCCCGTCTCATCGCAGCATCTTCCTCTTCAGCCCAGGCGAGGTTATCACTCGGCAACATGATAGCCTGATCGATAGCGACGGGAAGACCACGATGACGTCCACGAAGTGTAACCGCTGCCAGGATCAATTTGCTAATGGTGTGCCAGCCGCCACAGAACGAGCTGTTCCTGCCGGGGATGCCGACGCTAACGCCGACGCAGCCGTAGGCGGAGACAACTTCAAAGATGATGTTGAAGGTGGAGTAGCTGACAGGATCGCGATTGAAATTGGGCGATTCAGCGATGGAGATAAAGAGGACTGCTAGGGCAATCCACCAGATATCGTGGCTGAGTTGCGAACGCAGTTGTTGGTGGACAAAGTAGCTGCGCGAGGCTTCGGCGGTCGGGACATCCTGGCGTCCGAGCAGGTGGTGTCGCACGAGACCCATGAAGAGACCTTGTTTGGCTTGGCCGTCGGCTTCGGATTTTGGATCATCGTGGGTGTAGATGCCCAGGGAACGTTCTTCGTAGACGTTGGTGTTTCTCATGGTCACCAGCACGGGGAATGCCGACACATACATCATGAGAACATATAAAACGAGCAACCCTTGTCGGAGTCCGGATATAGTTACTACGTAAAACCCTCCAGAGCGTACAGCTGCAATTTTTTTTTTTCAAACGTAAGTTACATAAAAAGCGTAGTTGGTAACTAGAATCAGCAGCGAAGCACATACCTAACGCTTGGAACAAACCGTCCAGGACTCGATAGCCTGGTGGCAATTCCTCGATTTCTGGATTTCCAATTGCGAGTATCTCGAAACCGGCCCAATCAATGGCATTTAGAACAATGATGGTTCCCAGCAGATACCATGTGTGGCGTCTTGGGAAAAGATTTGTATAGACCTAATCAATTAGCAAGTGTACTCTGGTGACTGCCTTCCATGTGCATACCCTTCTAGGATGATCAAGGATAAAGTCTAAGGTAACCTTCCATGTCTTCCATGCCGGTCGGTCTGGGACCATGCATCTCAACGTCCAGATTATAAATCTCAAGAAGCAGGGATAGAGAGTGTTTCCGGCAAGAATTAGCAAACCCATTGTGAGAAGTGGATACACACTGCCACGGTCAGTACATTGCAAGGCCGTAAAAATGTCGGTGAGATACTCACTTCTTTTGTAGTGCAGTCATATTGGCATCCAAAAGGGACATACCGCTGTTCACAAATGCAGAAACAGCGAAGAAAGCGCCTGTCCAGAAAGGTGATAGACCGTTTTCCCGAGATATATCTGGATGATTCGCTTCGAGCCATCCTCCCACGCCGATGATACCGATGATCAAGAACATCAGCCAGTAAAGGGCGACTATCACTGCTAAGAACGAAACTGCCTTGTATTCGACTCCACCAAGTCTCTCGCGTTCGTCGGGGGTGAGCCCATGGAACTGAGAGTTTCGGGAGATAACGCCTCGGGACGCGAAATACTTTTGCGTTCCTTGGATCATGCCCTTCAGCCGTGATATCTCACTCTCCTCTCGCAGAGGCAGGTTTGGGATGGCATCTCTCGGATGATTATTCAGGTCAGGTCGGGCGCCAACGCCCACCATGGGGAACACTCGGTGGTGTGGAAGGTGCGAGCGTGTTCGTGCACCAATGGTTTTTTGATCATCTTCAGCCCAGTGTATATGGTCATCACTGGCCAAAGAAGTTGAGTTCTCTACGGGACTGACTTCAGTTATGCCAGGTGCCTTGTCGCCATGGCCAGCATCCATGTTTAAGGGCTGCACATTGGCAACCTTGGGGTCCGCTCCATCTAGTGGAATGTTCAAGCCAGGTGTGGGACGTGACTCCCTATCTTGAATCAAATTATTTGAAATCCCTTTGAATTTTGATTCAAAAGCCCTTTTCCTCACAAATAGAACAGTGATCGAGATGAGGATGGCATGCCCCAGCATCAGGAGCACAAAAAGGATGGCTTGCTGGAAAGTAGTCAATGAAGACAAGTCCATCTAGCGAAAGGGTTATTAAATGCATTAAAAGAACGGAAAGCCAGCCCGAGCAGCTAAAATCTCCGGCGTGAAAAGAGAGACATACAGTATTCAGGCCAGCGCCTGTAATAGCGCTAACACACATGAATAGTGCATCAGCATAAGAGACACTGAGGAAAGGGTTCGAAGCTCCCCAAAATATGACACTGAAGACCAATGATGTAATGATAAAATAAGCATAGTGTAGCGTGATAAAATTCAACGGTGGTACCACCGCCATAATAATTCGACCAAGAGGCCGAAGCGAGCCTCGTGCTGCATTGATCACAAAGGTCAACGAGGCTCAATCAAATAGATTGGACTATATATATGATAGTCGATATAGAGCTCATGGGCTGGAGGAAGAGATAAGGAGAGATGATACTAACAGGAGAACATCCTCAAAAGGCACAATGTAGTATCCCGTTAACCCGGCATGCAAGGGAGTCGAGTAATGCAGCTCCAGTATGATAGTCGTTTCAGGAAGCCTCTCGGACCTCAGATAGCGAATTGATAAAGCCGATTCTGTTGCAGAAACGGGTCGCACACCACTACCCGCAAGGATGTTGATGAAATCTCTGATCTATCTTTAGTCTTGTTCGATAATGCATTTCGGTTCCGGATAATAGCTGATGAGACGTGGTGGTTAATGACGACGTGCAAAAGTCGACCGTGTAGTGTAAGTTTGGAATTGCGTCGGTGGTAATATGGCTATCCGCGATTGAGTTTACTCGTATGGATGTATAGGATGTAGATGTCAAGCGGATTGAGATAGGCAGTTCAAAATGCTTTTCTCACGGTTTGCTTTCTGTGAGCTGAATTCTTAATTGGGGATCAAACGGGGGCAAAAACGTGTGTTATTCCATTTCAACTGAGCCTTGCGTGGCGACAAATGATCAAGGGGTAGATAAGTAAATGAAGAAAAGCTGACAGATGACGGAGGGGGGTAAGGATGAATAAAGAAAATATTTAAACTTGGGAAGAAAAAGCTGCGGTGGGACGGAACCAATTAACGGCCTTACGATCTGCACGCTTAACCCCGCTTGGCGTAGTTTCGAGAAGGCTATAGCCTTTTTGGATTATAGGGCTGTCGGAAAGTTACCACATTGGATCCATTCCAGCATCCTGAGGCTTTCCGGTACCTTGATTACCAAAAATTTTTATTTGGAATGTTCTTTTTTTATTACTCCGCACCTGACCTCGTTCCTACATCAGATCCCTGTTCCAGGATCGACTTGCTCTTCTCGGATCCAGTGGCCACTTTTCCCACCCTTCTTTTCAAGAAGTTTCACCCCATCAATCACCATCCCCTTATCAACCGCCTTCAGCATATCATAGATCGTTAATGCAGCTCCCATGGTCGCGGTCATCGCCTCCATTTCCACCCCAGTGCGGCCAAGGCAACTCACAGTGGCCATGACGTGCATTGCACCGTAGTTCAGGGACGGATTGATTTCATTCCGAGAAGGTAATGGGTCGACAAGTTTGACATCCACCTCGACCCCTGTAATTCCAATGCCTGGGTGGCACAAGGGGATAATATCCGGTGTCTGCTTGGCAGCCATAATACCAGCGATACGGGCCACACTGAACACATCACCTTTTCGTGTCCCACGCCCTTCTCGAAGTAGCTCCCACGGACGTGACTTAGAAAAGCGCACCAGGCACGTCGCTGTTGCGGAACGTTCGGTAACAGCCTTTTGGCTGATCTTAGTCATATGCACATTTTGCGAGGTGTTGAGATGAGGTAGATCTGGGTCAGAATCCGTAGGAAGTGACGTCGCAGTTCCCTGGCGTTTGAAATCGGACGGTTCCGTTTCCGACGAGGCGTTCCTACGATCGCCATGGTAATAACGGACTTGGCCCGAACGAGGGGAGCCGAACTGGAGCAAGGGTGTCGGAATATTGAACCACGGCCTTTTTCCCGCAGATGTTGCCCATATTCTAGACTGCTCTGAGCCTGTGAGTGTCCTTATAGGTCCATTATCTAGATCTCACCTATCAGCATCGCTCTCGACAGCCAAGATCATAAATACAGAAGCTCCCTACAGCTGAGCCACCACCGTTGGAATACCAATGAAGCGAAATGACACCCCAGCTTATGCATTAATCATGATTCGTAACATCACATTGATTCGCCAGACAGTTGTGAGAGGAAAGAAAACAGAGGTTGCGCCTACCCACCAATGAGAATCATCGGCCTATTCTTCATATTTTCCAACTCGCCCATGCCTGCATGCTTGGCCTTCTTTCGTTTGACAGCCATGCCGATAATGTCAAGCAGCTCTCGTTCTCTTTCGTCGACCAATCCACCCTCCTCATTAATACGAGCGGCTTTGTCCGCAGCCTCAAGTAGTTGCAATTTATTCATTGTAGCCTCGTCGATGGGTTCTCCATTGTTCGCTTTCCGGATAGTGTCACGTAACGATACCTCGGCATTGCCAAATAAGCAAACCTTCAAGTTTCCGTCGGATGTGATGCGTAAACGATTGCAAGTTCCACAGAAGTTATGCGTCATGCTAGTGATAAAACCAACGCGACCCTCAAACCCAGGTACCCGATAAGTTTTACTAGTGTCATTCTTATGGCCCACCACCTTTTCAAGGGTTGGATACTTCTCCCGGATAACCGCCAGCATTTCCTGATACGACAGCATCTTCTTTTGGTTCCATCGGTTGCCATCGAATGGCATATATTCGATAAACCGCACTTCGATAGGGCTCTCACGCCCCATCTCAACGAACGGGATAATCTCCCGGTCATTGACCCCACGCATTACCACACAGTTCACTTTCAATTTAATCCCTGCCCCCATCTTATTTAGTTCCAAGATTTTATCAATGCTTTTCATTACAGCATCGAACCCCTTCCTTCTCGTCATGATTTGGAACTGGAAGGGATCTAAAGTATCGAGACTGAGATTTACCCCAGTCAAACCCGCCTCAACCATAGGCTCCAGTTTCCGGTGCAAGGAAATTCCATTCGTTGTGAGACATAGCTCACGAAGCCCGTTGCGTCGTAGATCGCCGATTGACTGCATCAAAGGAACAATATCCTTCCGAACAGTAGGTTCACCGCCCGTTAAGCGGATCTTCGTTACCCCTTGCGAGACAAAAAGGGAGGACAGGTACACTATCTCGGGGGATGTGAGCAGGCGAGCCGGAGGCGAAAGCTCTATGCCTTCTTCCGGCATACAGTATACACATCGGAGGTTGCAACGCTCGGTGATGCTGATTCGGAGATAGTCATGTTGGCGGTTGAAGGTATCCGTCAAGAAATCGGAAAACGGCTTCGCGGTTTTCAAGGCAGTCCATCGCGAGGAAGGTTTTGAAGTCGAGGGGTCAGAAGTGGGGAAATAAGTGGCGGGGAGGGGTTTCGTGTCATTCTGTTCATTCTCTGCAGGCGAGGGGGCCGTACTGTAGTGCGAAGCTGCTTTGTTCCTACCGGTCGATATCTGTCGGAGGTGGGTGCGGGGATACCGTCGAAGGGATGGTAGAGAGGCTGTCAACCCGCGCCGCGACAGTAAGAATTCAGTCATGATGGGCAGGGATTAGGCGAAGCGGTGACGCAAGCCCAGCTGTTTGCAGCATATCAGTGAAGAAGAGGGAGTGGCGGGCATTTGGGTCTTATAGGGAGAAGTTTCATGGTCAAGGCGGAAGGAGGGGAATTGGATCATTGGATCCCAAGAAAGCTTGCTTATCATCATCGAGTCATCCCCTAGCATTTCATTCGCTGGGAGGCGACTTCTCCGCAGAACTAACTCATTCGGAGACGTCCGCCCTGTTCACTGGCACTCCCGTAACCGGGTCTAGCCGAGTTGGGAAGTACTACCACGAGGGGTCTAGTGAATTCCGCTACTCTATACAAGTATGAAGAATGATAGAAATTATATACGATGATGCCATTCTTTCTCATAAGAGTATAAAATTGGCACACTACCCCTGCGCCGGAAGCATCTTCTGCACCCGCTTCACCAGACTCTGTTCAAACTGCTCTACCCCTTTGCTCTGTTCCTTGAGCTTTCCGCCCTTTAAGACATACACAGCTCGTCTCCGACTCTGACTCTCGTCCGTCTCTTCGTCAACACCCTCGAAGTCATCGTCCAATTGATGCTCCTCGTCACGTTTGCCTTCGATAACCGAGCGGACCAGGAACCGATCATGCGATACTAAGATGATGGCCCCGTTGAATGAAGATAGAGCAGTTGCGAGGGCCGTAACAGTATGGAAATCCAAATGAGTAGTGATTTCGTCCAAGACGAGCAAATGCGGAGAATTCCAAATGACTTTCGCCAACGCCAAACGGACCTGGTATCGAATTTGATTAGCTTATGTTTGTTTATGGATATTTGTGCGTCGGTTATGCTCACAAGTTGACCGCCTGATAGTCGAGACACAGGCACATCAGAGGCGATTCGGCCCTGGAGACCCAAGCTTGATAGCAAACCCCTCAACTGACCCTCACCCATTATCCCATCAGTTGCTTTAGACATAAAGCCTAATGCGGTTAAACTGGGGTCAAATTGACCCTGTTCTTGCAGGTCCTCTATTGAGTGCTGGGAATAGTAACCGAGTTTTAGTCTCGAATGTGTTGATACCTTTCCCTTGGTTGGCAACGCATTTCCGACAAGGACCCGGATCAATGTGGACTTTCCGCATCCATTGAGGCCCATGAGGCCAACTCGATCCCCCATGTGCATGACAAGGTCCACTCCATCCAATACGGGAGCTCCATTCGGCTGATACTTGAATACAATTCCTTCTGCAGAAATAAGTGGACCTGGATACCGCAGCTCTGTGGCGTCAGGTAGAATTATCGAAGCACCCTTTTCGTCTGTCGGAACCTCGATCTCTTCTCGAGAACTCGAATGCCATCCAACTCGGTCTCGACTCAGTTTGAACCGTCCTCCAGTCGCACTCACTTGGACGCCCATCCTGTCATCCAGCTTCTTTTGCCGCGACTTAGCCATACGTAACTTGTTATCGTCGTTTGTTTTCTTCCCTGTCTTGGTTGTTTCACGGATGGTTGCTTCCATGTGAGCAATCTGGCGCTCTTGTGCCTCCTTCATACGGCCCCAGTACAACTTTTGCTCTTCGAAATCTCTCTCATAGGCCGACAGATTACCTTTGAAGTATGTGAACTTCTGATCCTTTAGGATGACAATCTCTTCGCAGACGGCATTTACGAAGTCCCTATCGTGGGAAACCAAGATTATAGTGGTTTGTGATGAGTCCTTCAGCTGCCGAAGATAGTTCTCAAGCCAAACTACTCCTAGCAAGTCCAAGAAATTTGTCGGTTCATCGAGGATCATGAAATCCGGGCTTTGGATAAGGACACCTGCCAGCATGCATCGCATACGCCAGCCTCCGGATAATGTTAGGAATGGTTTATCGAACGTGGTCTCTTGGAAGCCTAAGCCAATCAAAATTTGACGCGCCTGTTGCTCAATGTCGACCAGTTTCATCTAGTTGCGTCAAACTCAGTGACTGTCATTGTTTTTCTAATTGCTACCATACTCACCGTCTCGAACTGAGCTTGAAGATCTTGCAATGTATGCACCGCAGCCTGCGTATCTTCCTTGACAGTATCGACATCGATTAATTCTTTCTCCTGGTTCAGTCTATAGAAATCAGGCACTGCACATTATCTTTCGACGGGGGCGACTTACATTTCTAGTGAAGCTTGGAACTTGTTCTCCGCAGCTTTCAGGTCCTTCCGCGCTTGTAAACCTCTGGCTCCACTCTTCAAGCTCGCATTTTTCTGGGCGAGGAACAGGTCTTTTTCGGCTTTGTCATGACGGACTCTGCGAATAGCGCTGACCGGTTGCAACGGATCATCCGTCTCGAAGCTTTTAGACAGGACTTATATATAGTTTGATCAGATGTGATGTGAAAAGCAGAGCAAAGTCGGTAGAAGAATAGGTAGCTTACAGTTCATCTTGTGGACCAATTCACTCCGGGAATGATCACTGCTCAAAACATATTGAAGGACTGTCTTGTTTTTGTTTTCCGCTTCCTCAGCGGCAAAGTCCTTGAGGTCCGCTTCCGACGCGGTCTCTGTCTGTTGCAAGATAGCTATACGTGTCGAATGCGGAATGCCAGGGACGAGTTTGTCCGCCATAGCTCGTAGGAGCGCTACAGGTAACATATATTAGCTTAACTGTGACACCAGCCTCTCTCTATCTTAATGCTTTTCTTCTATGAGTGTTAGATACGGGAAGCAATGCTTACTCGACTTTCCAGTCCCATTTCGACCTATCAGCCCATAGTGCACACCTGCCTTCAACCGCAGATGAGCATCTGAGATAAGCTCTCTGGTATCTGGCTTGCTCTTGGATTTTCCTTTCAACGTTGACTTCGAGGGACCCTCCGGAGTATCCCGTGATGAATGGACGGCGATAGTGAGGCCCTCTACGTCAATCTGTAGAATAAAACTATCAGTCCATGACGGTAAAGAGGAAGTTTGTAGCGGAGTAGGTACCTCCTGAGTCGGCCTATCATCAAGCAAATGGAAGCGAGTCTGCTTGCAAGTTGCGAGAATAGACGACTTCATGTTCAAATAGCTACGAAGTTTCGCGTATTTCACTTCGACACACAGATGGCAGGACAAGTTCAAAGGAGACTTTGATGGGGTAGAAAATATAGTTCATGGAAAGGACAGCTTCATTACTATACATGCTACTCTACATCTCATATAAGTAGCAGCCCAACTAGTAAGGGGTATCATTGAGATGAGTAGTGCATTCTTTGAAACAAACATAATGCATAAAACTTCATTCTCCACCAGGCATACTGAGTCACTTGGATGATCACCTTGAAAAATGTTGTCAATGAAACCACAGAGCGAACGTCGGGGTCCCAAAAAGGAATAGCCGCTTGCATTTGGCCTGAGGAATCAACTGGTGGCTCAGGCTCGTAAAATGGCGAGTCGTTTGCCGAGGTCGCCTCTGCGCTTTTTATGTGGCAATGTGGATTCCATGACTCATTCATGAGTCATGGTACTCGGTGGAATGGATCGATTTAGTCTACTAAATAGCAGTTGGAAGCGTGAGGTAGATATGCGTGGTTAGCAGTTCATCGTCCACGCTGAAACTGCATGGATCTCCAACATACAACTACATGACCAAGATTAGATGTCAGCTGATGCGAATTGCATAGCTTATGCCATGTTGTCTTGAATGACATACATAGTCATCTCCAATCTCTAATACACAACGATCCTGAGTCTTCAGTACTGACCTCCTCCAGCACTCCCATTTCTAAGCCGGTAATAGTTACGCACTGTCTTTGTGCCACAGCCTATCTGCCTTCCTGCACATCTAACACCGTTCGATAACGTTGAATGACAATAAGCACTTGCAAGAAAGACAGCCAAACTTCACTGTTTTAGTCGACAAAGAATTGTTGAACAAGGCTATTGGCTAACTCAGTATCTTCTCCCTTCTATCCAATATGTGAAGACAGCTCAATGGCGTCAGTGCAGCTGACGGCCTGACCGACAACCCACCGTCAATCGACTGATCGTCCTTTCTGTTGGTGTCTACTGGAATATTGATTTTCCCAGCTGAGAGCTGATGGTGCACAATCACGGCTGAAGCGGGGTCCTGCGGGGTACTCTTGGGCATTACCGCCGTTCACTGGCCGCTGGAGCTGAAAGTCAAAGAGAAAGATAGCAGATGCTGTCTGGACAAAAAAATATAAATTAAAAGTCCGACCAGATCACTTTCACTCTCGTGTCCAACCTCCCCATCTTACCAAGCCCTTCGATTCTATTATAACATAGAATTTATCTATCGTGAACCCTTCAGAGAATCTTTTGCCCAATATGCCTGTTCAAGAGATTACCTCGTAAGTAGTGACAAAAATTCTTTTCTCTCTCAGGCGATATTACCCAGTACTAACGGTGATACTACGGTAGGTTCAAACAGTTCCAAGACCTTATCAACGGTGATAAACCGTTGTGATTGATTTCTGGGCAACATGGTGTGGACCTTGCAGAATGATATCCCCTGTTTTTGAGGCCTTTTCAGAACTCGCGGAATTCGCAAACGTCGGATTTTATAAAGTTGATGTCGATACACAAGAGGAAATTTCCCAGGAAGTTGGCATTAGAGCAATGCCAACCTTCACCCTTTTTCACAAGGGTATCAAAGTTGACGAGATGGTGGGGGCCGTTCAAGGGCAATTGAAAACTATGGTTGAAAAAGCATGTACTCTCTAAAGCGCAAGCAACAGTCCATATTGCCTGTGTTGTTCTATGGGGTTGGCTGGAGCGAGCAAGGGAGGCACAAGTGATTGTATCTAATTCTAAATGCTTTTATCAGATGTCTCGCTGAAAATAGCTATATGGCTTTTTACTCCTGATTATTATTCAGGGCCTTTGTTTAAAAATTATACTGCTGGCAGACAGAAATCTCGAGCCTTACTTTCAAACCTCAGGATGAAGAGACTTGAGCCTTAAATAGCCCTAAGCTACCTCTACAAAGCGCAAAATCCACACTTCAAAATATCTCTGTAGTATTAAACAGAGTCTGGACCAAGCTTATTATATAAGTGAAAGTTAGCCCGTGCCTTACTGTGTGAGTACTAGGGTGTCTTGACACCTATTGGAACAATAGCAAAGGGTGTGTGGGTTCACGGTTAGAGTCTCATTCTTCGTAGTATACATGTACAGGTTCATGTCGGCCAGTAAGAGTCCCATACTAGTATAAGAAGTTCAGACGAACTTTTTACTATATCTTCTGTGTACACTCCTTATTAGTTCTTGTACTGATCCCGCAGTGCTAAGAATGACGTTGATAATTCCTTTGTCATATACTACAATCGAAGATGCAGATAATCAGGGTCAATGAATCTCGCTTTTGCACTTGCCACTTGACCGCCATGACACAGTGGTCACGTAGATTATCAGCAATATGCAAATTAGCAGCATGTTCTAGAACTCGAGAAAGGACCATGACGATAGAGCCCAGAGCCATCTGGATTGCAGCAAGTGTCCTATTACAGATACTCATGTATACGTAGCAGAACAACTACAATGAAATATAGAATTGAGTTTCCATTCGGTAAGTTACATGAACTCAAAAGGTCGAAGAGGTATTCTACTTCATGATGATATAGCTTCCCGAGCCATGCTTGCAATACAGCAAACTGTGGGGCGACGGACACACCTCCAAGACGTTGGTAGACTGTTTACCAAAACCAGCAGTAACCATGCATCTCTAACCAGATATTGTACTATCTCTTGCATCACAAAATGGTCATATCTACTGTGTAGCAAGACAGACGTCAAGCGGGTATAGTATGACCTCATATCGCTTTTACATAGGGCACCGAGAAGTATAAGAATGGCAGAATCGAGCCTCATCGAGAAGTGATTTATCAAAGCAAACCATAGCAACACTGATCAAGAGTTTTCAATTACCATACTTTTCTTATATTTAACCCATCAGTTCACAATGGCCTCGAACACGAACCCCGGAAACTTCAGCAACCGTCCCCACGAGGAGGTTGAGAACATTGCCCGCAAGGGTGGCCAGAGCTCCCACTCGGGAGGTTTTGCCAGCATGGACCCTGCGAAGCAGGTAGGTTTCTCGTCGATCTCAGTACTCTCATAGATACTTATCTGTTTGTCAGAGAAACATCGCTTCCAAGGGAGGTCAGGCTTCGAGCGGAAGCTTCCAACCTGGTGACCCTAGAGCCCGCGAGGCCGGTCAGAAGGGTGGTTCGAGAACTCAGTACGATGTGGACCAGCCTGAGGAGTAAACAGATCGTCTCAGATGATAGGTTATTACCATACTATTCGTGTTGTTGATGATATAATGTTGTATATTTTACTGTACCTTGAACGAAACTCTGTTAAGATGACAATGTGTCTATGAGACAATCAACACCGGAAACGGCATCCCATTGCCTTCATATTCTTCTTTTTCAAGCTCCTGTAACATTATGAATATCCCTCATACTGAATGCCATCATTGTGTAGTAGACATTAATAGAAATATGATGTCCAACCGACGTAGGAGTCTCCACATCAACCAACCACAGCCAATAAACGTCAGCAGTGCATCACCACGAATTGTCCGTTTTCGATTAAGATACAAACCCCAAATTATCATCAGATGTCAGTTTTCTTCAGCTTGGTTGGTATTCTTGGGATGGTATGTAGTGGCAATCAAGAAATGGTGTTGCCTTCCCGAGAACTACTACACTGCCACACTCGAGCAGCTGCTTTTAGAATTAGCTTACGACATGGTGGCCAGCATATACGAGCTACACCCACCACTGGTTTATTCTTACTTTGTATTTATTTTTGGCAATGCTGCAAGACACATTCTTGGGGTTTATGCTGGAACAATGGTACAATATTCTTATTCGACCCTGCGAGTGGCATGACTCTAAAACCTTAAGATCTCCGACGGTACAACCGATGTTCACCCGATGGATGTACATACATACATATCGCGCATAATTCGCACCACGGTTTTTTGTGTTACCTACATATTATCAAACCATATGCTTTTTTTGAATGCTAGTATATACTTTGACTTGTCTGATAGACGATGTACAAATGTACAGATATACGAGAATAGTATATATATTGTGCTAAAATAGTCAATTTTTATAACCACCGATATCGAGGTTCTAGCCCTCATACCATAGTCCAAATAGCACCTTGGTGTCCTCCCCGACAGTGACGACGCAGTGGCTGTCGTGTCGCTGACATTTCTATACTTTAGTATTACTATAGAACCAAGGCCTCTAGGCACCGAGGTCAACCATTGGCTTATTACCTCTTTCAACACATGTAGAAGCTAGACTTGTGCCAAAACTGGGTTGTTGGAGTCTCCAGCGGGATCACATTGCCCAGAAATTGCGGGCCTGACGCGGCCAGTTGAACAGACTATTTGTTTCTATACTTGGTTTTGAAAACACCTGGAATAGACCGTGAGCTGTGTGTGGTGTTGGACAGGTGATGTTTGTATTTGCATGTGTATGGAATAGTCTCTTCTAATATTATCATGGCACCTCCGGATCTCACCGAGCTACAAGAATTTATCGATGTGTGTTCTCCCATAGTGCGTAAACACTTGCGGCAACACCATGTTTCAGAGATGCATACTGAATCAATACTCAAACGGATTCTACCTGCTCTCGCCAGACCGACCGTCATGGTGCGGAGAGTTCTGACTCAAAAGATTCCCTCATATCAAGAGGATTCACATACACCTCCTCGGCGAGGGCTTCTTAGTGGAAAAAAATAGCTCTGTTTATTAATATGTTTACGTTTCAAATCCTGGGCTTGTCTGAGTCTCCCAGATTTGATCCGTTGAAGCTCCGTATAATATTGCATTTTTATCTTTCTAGCAGGGCTGCTATTGTTGCTACTAATCTGAATTAAACACTAGAGCTAAATAATCATTGTCACAGATCACTGGATGGTATGTAGCTGATTGACGCCGCCCTGGAAATAGACATAGTGCTGTAACTGATGAGAAACCCACAAGACTCTCCCATATCCGATGCTCTAGTTTGCTGCAGGAGTTTCTGCTAATGTTACAACGCCCAATAGATTGACAGGGAGGGCCTTGGCTCTATTGGAAACTATTGCTCTTGGTGTTGTTTACCAATGGCGGAAGCTATAGTTCTCTTTGAAGTTGTGCACGAGACAAAATTACTCCCCGCTAGGGCTAAGACTTTCCTTAAAAGGATCGTTTGCTACACTACTAGGTACCTAGTAGGTAGTACTAACCTACGGAGTAGAAGCCGATTATCTTATCTATAAACATATCCATGCTAAACAATAGTTGCACTCGGTTACTGGCTAGCGTTAGCCAACCTATTGATCATCATTGCCAGTTGAATCCTTAGCTTCTCAATCAGAGTGCCCAAGCCTTCTAGCCAACTTCTTAGGGCAAACTATAACACTTCTAAGCACTGCCCCTGGAAGAAAGTTGGAAGAGGCTAAACAAACTATAGAGAAGACTTTTTTTGCGGTATTTTTGGCCCATGGGGCGGCAATTCTCCGGAGTGAGCGCGAGGTGTTGGTGCAATGGCTTGACAGTTATGTATCACACTCCTTTTTCTTTTTTTTCTTTTCTTTTTTTTTTTTTTTGCCCCTTGTGACAAGTTGTAGATCTTTGGCTTGGACGGATAAGAAACAATATCCACCTATTTGCTTGAGGCGATTGAGTCCAGCCTTATGGATATGGCCTTTTGCTTACGCTATAATCATGTTTCTAGGCCATTGTCTGTTATAGGGCCGGCTGTCAAAGGATTGGAAAGCCGGAGATATCGCATGTATGATACCAAAAGAGGATAATTCGACCGGGGAGCTCTCCTTTCACGGTTTCAGATTGTTCTAACGAAGAAAGCCTGCTATGAGTAGATTACAGAGCTTACGATCTATTGTCCATGCCTCATACTGATGAGAAACATGAATTTTACATCAATTCCACGGCATTCTAGATTCCTGAGGTCTAAGTTTTCTTTGGTACTCCGTATACTCCGTGGAGAGACCGACAGGTATGTAAGTAGTCAGCGGAGCGAAATCGGACTTCCCGCTGGTGGCGCCGGTCATGGTCCGCCAGGGGTGCAGTGTAGGAAAGAGCTAACTTAGCGGCATGCGGCCCAACCTAAACGGAGATGATTCCAGCTGAGCAGAAAAACCAGACCGGAAGATGGCCGGAAGTCCCACGGCCCAATGGTTGACAAGTCGTGCAGCACATCCAATTCCACACGGGCGAGACGCCCACCTTGGTGGGAAAACCCTAACCGGAAGGGGTTGGCGAAGGCATTATGCCCCATTTTATTCTCCAGGGGATAATCAGTTAGCGTGTCGAAGAAGGGTAGGGGCGTTTGCATAAGTGGCTATGCCGTTGAACGGGAGAGTCCTTAGGTCAATGCCAAGCTTTGCTTCCGGTGTTGATGATCCACCGAAAACCCACTGGAAAAATTTCCACCAGCGACTAAACACTGAAAAGTAAGGATCAAGCGGGTTCGCTTCGAGAGTCGAGAATCAACCGTGATTGAACCATTGCTTTTCTAGGATACCCGCCGATGGTGGACGAGGAGGGCATCTAGAAGGGCCCCGGTGGTTAATTGGTGGTTGTTGTACGTTATTGCGTTGACTCTCGCCTTGTTTGGTTATCTGAAATCGGTTGCGGTTTTGAAACACTGGTTGGTATGTGGCCACCATTCCTACGGAATTGTATTTTGACGTCAAGTCACCACCAAGTCCACATTCCAGAGAACGGAAGTACACTTTTCCACCACAACCATGTGAACATGTGGATGTTGGAATACCACACATGGAGGTCCTTTTCCAAGAAGGGAGGGTCAAACTGTTGGATTTGTTTCTGATGAAATGGCTGTTATCCAGTAGACTTTAATTGGTCTATGTGAGCGCCACAGGCGTCACAACTTGGAAGGGAGAGAAGATATCCTCAATGGGCGTTTTTAGAGGGTCGGCAATGGAACGAATTGTACGACTCCCACTTGCCGGGACTCTTAGTTAGCTCGTACAAAGTACCCTAACAACACCTGAAACGGAAAAGTGTCACAGAAAAGATAGGAGTGAAAAAAAAAAAAAAGAAGTAGTAAAAGAACAAAAGTTAAATAATAAATGATAAAATAAACAACTAAAAAATTAGAAAATTAGAAAATGGAAAATGGAAAATAATAATAATAATAAAAATAAAACTAACTCACTGCATGGGAGGCAATCGAATTGCCTTGCCTAACAAGGGGGACGGTCAACCGCCCTCCTGGGAAATGCAGAGCGATGTGTGCTACGCTCTACCTTCCTTCTTCTATCGCACTCTCTTTAATTACTCCGTACTTGCCTCGCTAACTCGAGTGATACCCGTGACTAGGCAACGGGGGCTAACCTGGGTATGTGCAGTGACTGACTACAAGTTGTTACTTTGGACTATTGTTATTTACCTAGAGAGCATTGAATTTTCCCAAACAAGACAGACAAAGTTAATCAGAATAACGCAAAATAGCCTAAACGTTCCATACTCCGTAGAAGCAGTAAACAAACATTAGATCTTATCGAAGATCCCCGTCGTCTGTATGTCCACTTAAGTTGGTCAGGAAGGACGGGGCCAGTCAGGGAATGAGTGGATTCCCAGGTAGGGCACAGGAACCCCGAAACCCTAGTCGGACGTCCTACAGACGAATCACGGCGTCCGATGAAGTGGGGAGTTGGCTGAGTCAGCGGAGGACGCGCAAGCCAGGTGAACCTGATTTCTATTCCTGGCGTGGAGAAACGTCCCACTCGGTCGATTCCCCTGGCGCCTCCCTTCCACTCTTGCTCGGGCGCGAACTCCATTCTCCTCTCTCCCTTCCCTTCCCTCTCCCTATTGTTGCCAACTCTTTCTTAACCTACACATCTATTCCATTTCCTCTCCATCATCGTCGATCTTCTATCCCACCACAACACACCATCGCTTCTTTTTCCTTATCCCCACTGCGTACCGTGGGTGATCATTTTCTTGTGCTTAGCCTGTTTTCGTTTTTCACCTCGCTTCTTAATCTCCCTATTAGACTCGTACACCACCTCCACCTCGTCTCTCACTATCGTCCGGGCCGATCGAGTGTTGTAATCCACCAACGCCCACTTTCCATCCGACCTTAAAAAGAACACCGTCCCCTCAATTCTCCCCGGGGCACATATATCATACACATCATGGCCACATTAGCGGAACATCCGGTCGTCGCCCCGTCGACATACGATCAGGATATCGATACTTTCCTCAACCTCGATCAACTCACGTATACCACATCAGAGCCAGCCCGGCCCAAGGCGGCCCTGGCTCAACCATCCATCCCTCCTACAGAGTTCAACGCTGGGGATCTTC